CAGGAAAGCCCTTGCTACCCTCAAAGAATGAGTGCTTGTTTCGGAATGACGGGGTTGGGGAGAGGGGTTCCCTGGTGCAATTTTCGTGGCCTGATTCCCATCAATGCAGTTTCAATTTCCTTAAAACTTTTTCCTAATAAGTTCTTACACTGGTCTTGTGTCCTTCTGGTGAGTCTATCAAGATTGCCCCCTTGGAATTAAAAACAACAGCAACAACAAAAAACCACAAATGCCTTAGTCCTCTGGCCAACCACTCTGCCTTGAACTTAACTCCGCGGCAGATCTCCTTGGAAGCCATTCTTTTGACTGGGATTTTATTTTTTAAGGATCCCTGGACTCTAAGACAAGTGTATGACTGAGAGTGCTTGTCTGCAGTCACCCACTGATTGCAGAGAAATATTTAAGGACATTTTGCTTGGTATAAACCCGTGCAGGTAGGAACTGAAATTTAGTAGTAATACTTACCTTCATACAGCACTTAAATCAAAGGAAAGCATCTAAGCACCTCCCTCCACAAAAATCTAACATTTTTCTAGAAAAAAACTTCATTGCTTCTAAGTTCTTGTTTTTCGAGAAGACAACAGTTCTTGTCTTATAGCCTCCCCGGTATTTGTATCGAGAAATCCTGACCTTCAAGAAGTCCATACTTTCATCTTGGTTCCAACCCTTCCTATTCTAAGTTCAATGGTATTTCATTTGTCTTTGCAAGAGATAGATTACAGTCGTCTATGAAACAGACTGCTCCCTGGGTGATGTGGTGATGTGACAGATTAGCACACTTAGTTGCTAAGTAAAAGGCTGGCAAGTTCAATTCTTCCCAGAGGCTCCTTGGAAGAAACCCACTTCCCCAAAATTCACCAGTGAAAATCCTATGGAAACAGTTCTACTCTGACACACAGGGAGTCGCTGTGAGTTGGATCTGACTTGACAGCAACCGGTGGTTTTTTTTGTTGTTGTTGTTAAATAATGACTGCCTGGAGTAGGTTAGGAGGAAGACCGGCCTTTCTACTCCTGTAAAGGGTAACAGTCTTGGAAACTCACAGGGCCAGTTCTACACTGTCCTATAGGATAGCTAGAGGATTCTGGCAGTGAGTTGGGGGTTTTTGGTTGTGATTGTGTTGGAGTAGGTACCCATAGGACTTATCATGACTTGGGATTCAGGTAAATTTGATTTAATGGACGGGATTCCAGAGCAGTCAGAATTAAGTTATGACAAAGACATAAATTTAGCTAGATTATCATTCCCAGAAATTGTGATAAATGGGGTTGATGGGAAGAAGCACTTTCTAACTGGACAGTAAGGGAGTGTGAACAGTTCACTCAACTACAAACCAAAAACTTGCTGGCTTGAACCCACCTAAAAGGACCGAGGAAGATAAGTCTGGCAATCTGCTTCCAAGAGATCACAGAGTTGGAAGCCCTATGGAGAAGGGCTACTCTGCACTCATGGGTTGCTCTGAGTTGGAGCCAACACAAAGTCAACTAACGTCACCTGACCTTCATGGATTGAGAGCAAAGATAGGAGCAGCAATCTAAACATGGAAGGTTAAGAAGCTCCATAGTCAACCAGCCTTCCTAACTGCTAAGGCAGAGACTGACAGTTTCATTTTAAGCACCTAATTATCTCTAAGAGGTCAAGTGTTGGTCTTAGAGACTGTACCCCTCCCAGGGCCCAGTTCATCTCCATTTAAGCTGGTGACTCCTCCCTGCATCCTTCTCTCTCCTCCTGGACTCTGGCTGCCTTTTCCAGCTTGAAGTCTCCAGCAGTGTTTTTGGGTACGCCACAATGCTTATCAACCTCCTCATCCTCAGGGACGTATTAAATATCAGATGAAAACATTGCAGAATTGGACAAGCAATTATTTAGTTTTACAATAATTTCTAACAATAAGAGCGAGCCGAGTTTTGCTTGCAGCAGACAGAAATGAAGAGGAAAAACTGAGATGAGGTCACCAGCTTTTCCTTGGTTTCCAACAGTCTGGGAACACGATTTCATCCGCAAGCTAAACTATCCAAAGAACACTGAGAGAGATACAGGCCAAAGCAGCAGTTATGCCAGAGCTTAGTTAAGCTATCTTTATACAAAATCATTTTGTTCAAGATCTTCTCTCCAGTCATTGTTTTCTGCAAACCAAAAACCCAAACCCACTGCCGCCGGTCAATTCTGACGCATACTGACCCTATAGGACAAAGTAGAACTGCCCCTGGGGGTTTCTGAGACGAAATTTGAATCAATAGACATCCTTATCTTTCTCCCTCAGAGCAGCTGATGGTTCCAAACTACTGATCTTGAGGTTAGTAGCCCAATGCATCACCCACTCCACCACCAGGGATGGCAACGCTGCCTCACTCCAGTTACCACTGATTAAGGAACTCAGTGGATGTCATGGGTTGAAAGAGAGTTCAACAGTGGTCAAGTGAAGTCTCTGCTGGAGAATTTTAATGGCAAAAACCCATGCATGGCTGAGTAGAACAGCGCTCTGTAGGGTTTTCCCAGTGTTTGTTTGTTTTGAAATAGATCGACAGGCCTTCCTCCCAAAGTGCCTTTGGGTCGATGCCAACCTGCTGGCAGCCAAGCATATTAACCATTTGCACCAGCTAGTGACTTGGGTCTTTGTACATATAGGAGCTCTCTTGACCTACTGCATGTCAGACCTAACAAAGCCCTGGGAGCTATACATGCAGCCCCTACCTAAACGGAGCATTATGGGCATTTGTAAGTCAACTTCCTATTCACTGCCAAGAAGGCCAGTTGACCTTATATGCTGAATATTCTTCCTTTCTCAATTTTTCTTTAGAGCAATCATGTACATCCACATAGCACTTGCTATAATTCCCCTCACTCTCTTGAAGGAAAAATGTATTGATGAATTGACTTTCATAGTTATGGAAGCATTGAATTCAAGCTCGGAGGACACAGCAATAAATAAGACATGGAGCTTTTCTTCTAGTTGAGAGGCAGACAGTAAAGAAGTAAATCAAATAATTTCAAAATGTGATGAAGAAGGAACCCTTCTGACCGTCAGTCTTCACGTAGGACAACCATTGCTTCATTTTACCGATTGGTGTCCACTCATTAACTCTGAAGTTGGCTAGACAAAACACAAGTATGAAGTGCCTGTGTGGCATAAATGGCTAACTGCTGGACTACTAACCAAAAATTGGCAGTTCAAATCCACTCAGAGGTTCCTTGGAAGACAGACCGGGCAGTCTGCTTCCAAAACATCACAGCCTGGGAGGTCCTCCGAAGCGGTTCTACTCCCCACCTAGGGGATCTCTAGGGGTTGGAATCAATCAACTGGAAATTAACCATAACAACTACAATGTGTAAGTTAGAATAATTCATAACAGGGATTTATCTTTTTAGATAATTTTTCTCATTTTAAAAAAGCTAGAAAGCAAAAACAGAAGTTTCACAATCCTTGGAAGCTTTTATCCATTTGGAGGAAATTTTATGTTTCAAAATCATTCTGTGACTTAAATTACTTCTAAAATATCTCACCCCATATACCCAGTGTATTTTCAAATGAAAAGATCCAGGGGACCGTCAACTTTCTTTCACAAAAGGTAGTCTGGAGTCAGGCCTACCTAAAGCCTGCAAAATAAGTTCACCAAATGAAATACAGGGCACTGGATCAAATAGGAAATTATAATAAACGACAGAAATCTTTTTAATATTAGAATGTTTCCTTATTATATCAATTTTCATATAGAAATGTGCTTTAGACGGGGTTCTCTAAAGAAACAAAACCCGTGAAGCATAGCTGGATTTAGCTCAAGGAAATGGCTTATGAAATTACAGAAGCTGGAAAATTCCAAATCCATGTTTCTGATATCAGGCTGGAGGCTTCTTATGACTCATGGAACTGCAAGGACTGATGAAGGCAAAATCAGCAGGCCAGATGAAAAGCTGGTGGATGCAGAAGTGAATGGATCCATAGTGAATAGGTGAAGTGGCAGGAAGCTGACTGACGGGCTGCAGAGGCTAATGACTCCAGGATCAGGGCATGGCACTAACTCAAGGCTAAAGAACCAGAGGTCAGAAGATGAGCCAGACGTGGGATCCAGATTCAGAAAGAAAAAAAAAAAGTATGGTTTTCCAGAGCATCTGAAAGCAGGGCACATCGCAGAGGAAGGTCCATTTCAATGTACTGGCTGCTCGTAGCAGATGTCATTATATATATATATTTATATATATATACACATTTCAATGTACTGTACATAGCAGATGTCATTATATATATGACTACAGTCTATTAGATATCACCGTGGGAGATGATTACATCATAACAGACAAACCACTGAGAACTGTGGCCCGGCAAAGTTGACACACAACCTTAAAGGCTCTCACAAAATGTCTCAAAAGTATGGATGGGGCATCGTGATACTAAAATATCATTCATTACGTATCTGAAATGTAACTTTTACTGAACATTTCTTGGGTGCTAAATCTACCATCGCTAGCCTAAAAGGGAAAATCTTAGTCTCTCACAATCCCCATCACCACTTGCCACCCTGACCTCCTTCACTGCATTTTCCTGATTTAAAACTGGTCATCAAGAAGAGATGTGAATATTAATTCAATACTGAAAAAATTAAATTAGTTGATATTAATTAGGATTGAAAAATACAGTTATTTTGGCCACATGAATAGGGAATCTAGGCACTTTGATGAAATCTAGATACGCAAACTAGATCATAACCACGCTCAATTTTCAAAGCCTTGGCCAAAATTAATGCATATATATATCTCTTACAATTGAAATCCAGACTTGTGAATGCTTCAGTCAAAAGAAATAAGGCATTTTCCAAATTTTTTTAATCAGTTCAGAGCTAGAGATAGTTGGGTACATTATTTTGGCATTTGTATTAATTTGATGTGATTGCTTAACCTCAGCTCATTCATTGTCTCTTTCTCTGTGTGTGTCTTTCTCTGTTGGACTCTTTTCTGTATCTTCCCTACTTTCATGCCCCCCGCCCCCCCCCCTTTCTTCCTTTAGTTACCTAAACAAGAATAAACATCTGACAATCATTGACAAGGATGCCTTTGGAGGAGTGTACAGTGGACCAACCTTGCTGTGAGTAAGACACCAAGAGAACAGTTGTCTTTGGTTTGGAAAGGCCATGCAAATTGCAAGGAGCAACTAACGTTTGTGCCAGGGGATGGTGTTGTCTTAGGTAAAACACTCTCTGATGCTTTTCTCCCCAACCGTGCAGGCTGCTCCTTGGAAGAAAGTCCATGAACTTTAAGACTCAGAAATCCCTATGTGAACATGTCATCTTGATGCCTTATCAGACACCCCCTGGTCTGTTATAAAATCCCTCTCATGGGAAATTACAGACACCTCATGTACAGCCACCACTCCTCTGTCAGTGGAGGTTTGTGCATGACTATGAGGCTGAATCGATTTTATTATATAATAGGAACTTTCAGGAAGTCCTATTATAGGAATTATATCATAGGAACTTTAACACTAAATATTCATATCTTAGTTATCTGGTGCTGCCAGAAGGAAATACCACTAATGGATGTCTTTAACAAACGGAAATGTGTTCTCCCGTAATTTAGGAGACTACCAGTCCAAATTCAAGGTGCCAGCTCCAGGATGGCATTCTCTCTGCGTCAGGCGACTCTGGTGAATGGTCCATCAGCAATCCTCCCCTCAGTTGACGGGTTTCTCGGCTCAGGGATCCCAAGTCTAAAGGATGTACTCCTCCTTCCCCACTTGGTTTACTCGCTAGTTTCAAGGTCATTTCTCAAAACAGAATCTAATTTAAAGCAAGTGAAATGTCTAAAAAGATCAGTTTCCTAATCTACTTTTAAAAAAAAGCCAAACAAAACCTTTTAAATTTTTGTTTAATAACATATCTTACTTAGTAACATTTTAATCAAGATATACAATCTCATTTTCCATTTTTATACTTTCCATTTTTGATTACCTTGTTTTATTTTCATCTTACTTGGAAAGAGAAGCGCTTGGTGTTTTAATCCCAAAGGGGAAAAAACCCCACAGAAATGCAATGCCTTTATAACAACAGAAGATCGCTAAGGTTTGAATTACATAACCCATTTTATAAACAGCTTCCTGTTGAAAATTACTGTATTTTAATAGTCCCACTGATTATTATGTGTATCTCCTAAAAAGAAAAATCTCTGTGGTAATGTCATTGAGTTTTTGTTTACATTTAGCAGCAAATAAGGTTCAAAAATAAACTGTTGTTTTTATTAGTTGATCCAATTAATCATTCCTAAATCCCAAGCTCCTGGCACTGCCATCTCGGTTTAGGGAAAATAAGCCTTTTGCATTTTCCTTTTTGACTTTTCATTATTTTCAGAAGACCATACTTTTTCATTTTACTAACAATTTTTAGTGTAAATTCAGTAGGAGTTTACATTTCAAATCTTCAACTTTACATTCAACAATTAAAACAACTAACCACCCTCCCAATAGTTTGCTCTTTGCCCACCCCTTGGTTTCTCTTCTCCCCCTTGGGGACTGCTATCTTCCATTTCACCCGGGTTATAATAGTTTAACCCATTGTGTTATGGCCGAAAAATTATGGCCGATTCTTTTCAGCAGGCCTGGAGTCCACAGGAATGTTGTGTACGTGATTTTTCTTAGGTAACTCCTGGACAAAAATGTCTTTGTATTGAGGTATAACTTATACACAGTTATATGCCCCAATTTTAAGGATACGGTTTGGTGACGCTTGACAAAACTGGTACACCACCCCTGTCAAAACTTAAGAGCACTTTAATCTGCCAGGAAATTTGTCATTCCCCCCTCCCACCATCAGCAACCACATACTTTTACTTTTGTCTTGAACAAAAATATAGGAGCTAGGTCCTAGGGTAGTCAAGTGTTTAAGCGCATATCTCTCCGACCTGGTTTTCCAAAGGTGGTTATTCTCGTTCCTATTCCCACGGGCAAAAGAGGAGCGTGCCATTCTGACCAGCCCGTTTTATGGTCAGCCCTTTGGGATTTCATGAATCTCATGGCATAACATGAGGGCTCTTTGTGACTTCAATTTGTATTTATCTGACAAGTAACAATGTTGAGCATCTTTTCATGTTTACTAGATACATGTGTACTTTGGGAGACCCACACCTGTCTCTGCCTATTTTTTTTTAAATGGGCAGCTCTAATATTTGCTCATTTTAAAAACTGGATTGTCTATCTTTTGATTACTAGAGAAAACTTTAACCCCCCCCAAAAAATTTGGTTCATCCTAACTACCACCCTTCCTGAGACCCTTGGTAGTGCCAGGTTAACATGCTTAACTCTTAAAGGGAAACCAGGAGGTTAGAGTTCATCCAAAGCCTTGGCCATCTGGAAACCCTAGGGGGCATAGTGCTACTCTGACACACGGGATGTTGCCATGACTTGAAATCAACTGGACGGGAACCGGTTGCCACACCTCTATCGTCCAAAGTTTACCTCCCTTCCCCCCTCCCTTCCATTCCTAAGGAGAAAGAACTCATCCAAAATGCGCATGCAAGGTGCTCATTGACTCATCCATTCAATAAGCATTTGCTGGAGCGTCTCCTGAGCTCCGTGAAGGTTATAAGGATGAAAAAGGGTGGGCTCTGCTTTTAAAGGAGCTGCAGTCAATCCAAGAGAAATAGGAATACGTAGTTATACATTTAAATGTAAGAGAGATTCGGAGACTCAAGTTAACATTTCTAAATAATGGGATCATCAAAGGTCTTATTAAAGACTATAGTATTTGGGGGTGGGACGGGGCTTTGGATAGAACACCGACTTGTAACAGACAGAGACAGAATTATGAGAAAAGATGGGTTCAGAAAACTGAAAAAAATCATTGAGTTCCAAAGGATACTGCTATTGTTAGATGCTATGAAGTTCATCCAACTTTGAGCGGCCCTATGTCCAACAGAATGCACCTGCAGGTCCTGTGTCACCCTCATCATTGCTCTGTGCTGGGGCCCGGTCCTGCACCACTGTGTCCACCCATCTAGCTGACGATCTTCCCCTTTTTGGTTGACCATCTACTTTACTCACCCTCTACTTCTCCTGAAAACATGTCCAAAATAGGTGAGATAAGGCCTCACCATCCTAATTTCTTTTTTTTTTTAAGTATTATTAATTGGGAGTTAATACATATATCATATCACTCAATAGTTCAATCACGTCAAGCATAATTATACAATTGCTATCATCGTTTCCAAACACTCTTTTTCTTCCTGAACTCCTTGACATTGTCTCCCATTTACCCCCCACACCATTACTGCACCCCCAACTCCCAAAACCCTTAGTCTACTTGCTATCCCTAGAGGTTCATCAATCCTGGGTTTCATATACCAAAAAACAGGGGGGAAAATATATAACACAACTTCAAGAGGGTGACCTCCAATGACATAACACCTCTGAGATACACCCTAACATGAACGAACAAAGACAAAACAAAATACAGAAAATGTTGAAAACCAGATCAGGTCCAGCATGTATCAGAGGGCAAAGTTTTAACTGTTCAAAGCAGATAGATGCCTTTGATCTTCTATACTCATTTCTCCAATGCCCTCTATTTAGTAACCACTTTCTTTTAATCTTGCTAGAATATCTGGCAGTCCTTCAATACCATCAATGTCAATGTAATAACAACAACTATTTAAAAATTATCTTTAGTAAACTTTTATGTGCAAGAGATATTAGTGATATTGAGCAATAATTTTTGCAATCTGTTGAATCATCTTTCTTTAGAAAAGGCACTTTTATGGATCTCTTTTTTATTTTTAGATTATTTTTATGGGTCTCTTCTTGTCAGTTGGCCAAGTAGCTGTCTACCAAGTTTCTTGGCATAGACCATAGGTTCCCAAATTTATTTGGCCTACCACAACTTTTTTCAGAGAAAAACCGTTCCCCTGGGGGGGAAAATGTTTGTACTAATAATTTATAATTTATCAAGTGTTCACAAGGGTGGGAGAGTGAGGGGGGGAAAGAGGAGCTGATACCAAGCTCTCTAGTAGAAAGAAAATGTTATGAAAATGATGACAACATATATACAAATGTGCTTGAGACAATTGATGTATGGATTGTTATAAGAACTGTATGAGTCCCCAATAAAATGATTTTTTAAGTTTTTTTTTAAGTTTGTATATAGCCTCTAATCCAGGATAAAGTGTCGGTATGCACTTTTGCAGCCCCCTGAGAGAGTCCAGTGCCTCCAGTGAGCGATACCGTCCACTCTGGGAAACACTGGCACAGACAAATGAGGCCTTGGAAGCATTGCATCCATTTGTTGAAACATCTCAATCAATCCCTGGAATTTGTTCTTGTTGTTGCCTATGTCTACCATGCATTTCATCCTTCAATACCATGAGTGCTTGATTATTTGCTACCTCCTGAAATCATTGAACTTCAAATAATTCTATGGGATATAGTGACTGAATTTGTTACATCTTTTGATGCTTCCTGTAAACAATATTTCGTCCACGAAACCTTCATGAACGCAACTTGAGCTTACATTTTTTCTATAGTTCTTTCATATTGAAAAATGCCAAGCCTGGAAGCTTCTTTCTTGGTTTTTAACTCCAGGTCTTTGCACCGTCATTATAAACTCTTTGCTTTGTCTTCTCAAACTTCCCTTGGAAATCTTCTGTTCAGTCCTTTTACTTCATCATTTCTTCCTCTCACTTTAGCCACGCTCTATTTAAGAACAAGTTTCTTCTGACACCCATGTTGGTCTTTCTTCTTTGTCTTTTAATGACCTTTTAATTTCTTCAGGTATGATGTCTTTGGTGTCATCTCACAGCTTTTTTGATTTTTAGTCAGTCTTCCCTGCAACTTTACTCTTGAGATCATATGCCTTGTCCCACATCTTTTTCTGGATCCTGTTTCTAAATTCAGGTAGCATATACTCAAGGTCATAATTTGGTTCTCCTTCATTTATTTTAGTGTTTTACATCTTTCAGCTTGAACATGCATATGAGCAATGGATGGTCTGTTCCACAAGTGGCCTTGGCCTTGTTCTGACTGTTGATATTGACCTTCTCCTTTGTTTCTTCTCACAGATGTAGTTGAACAGAGTTGTGTGTATTCCACCTAAGAAGGTCCAT